GTATCTAGAATCTTAATTTCAGAAGATACGATAGTCCTTAAACCATTTATTTTAAGCATGTGAAGCTACACAATGGAAAGTCATCCAAACAATATGCTTAGGTCTAGTTTAAAACTTGAGCTCTAGCCTCTGGATTTGTTAGCCTCATTGTAAGCTAAACTTTCATTTCCTTCAGACCAGTTTTTACTTCCCTGCTTCCAGTGACATCAAACATCCTGTCTGTCAGCCTTAAACACTTCATAAGTAATTTCAGGCTTTCAGTAAGGCAAACATCTGGGAGTCTGTCTGAGTTCCATGGAATAGCCTGTCCATTACAATTCTCCGGTTCACTACCATCTGTAGCTCAAACATACATTACAACCTAGAATTTGTTTTTTTAGTCTTGTATAAGAAAATAATGACACGTGCAAAATACAATAATAACCATGGAAAAGATTTCCATGTTGCTATTTTTTCCTTTCTTTTTTTTTTCTGGAAGTATTTCCTCTGCCACTTCATAAAGACAACTGAATGCAAACCTGAGGCATCGTGTGCAGCCTTCCAAAAACAAAAACTGAAAAACAAATAGGACAAACATTAAAAATTGCAAGTAAAGCAATTCAGTTATAGACTGAATGTTACAGGTGGAATGGTATGTCACAAAACTGAGGAAAGAAGTGCCTGCTTCTGAGTGCCTTAGACAAATGAGGGATTGCAATAAAGTTCACAAGGGATTTAATAATCCAGTCATGGGTGTGTGTGTGTGTTATCTATGGATTTTGTTGATATAATAAATGTGGCAATGAATCAGCTCTACTTTACCTCCTGGAATATAGACCCTGCAGCGACAGGCAAAGCTATGTGCCTCATTTGGAAATATTAGAATATGAAAATAATGTAGTTGTCATTTCTGACAGCCGTCAATGCCTCTGCAAATAAGCACCTTTTCTTGAGCTTCTGGGGCACAGTGCTCAAGCAGACTAGAATATAATATAAAGAAGACCTTGTTGCTCTCTGTACAGCTGTACATAACAAGCAGATTCACTGTACTGGTTAGGTAAAGCTAAGTCCTTAACTCAGGTTGGCATCCTTAAGGGTAAAGGAACAATACAGGGCCTTTTTATGTATCTGTTTATGGAGAAAATATGTCAGGAAAGTAAACAATAATCTCTGAAAGTGGGAAGAAACACAAATTCCTAGTGTTATCAAAAAGTGATGAAGAATTAGAGTGGATCAAATATGAAATGATTTACCACAGTGAATGTGCATATATGTGTCCTAGAATAAGTAATATAGGGAGGGCAAAAAGTCTTTTACTCAGAAAGGAGGAAAATATGGAAAAAAATCTTACTTTATGTAATTTTTTCCTCTTGGGAACAGATATATTGTAAAAAAAATTTAGTAAGTTTAAAAATTTTAACATATTTAAATACTTTAATTTAATTTTGTGGTTTCAAGGACTTGGTTTATTAAGAACATACTCTTTCTGAATGGTCATTTGGGATTTACTTTTTTGGAAAAATTTTTAAAATTCTGTTGAGTGTTGCAAATTCTGCAAGAGAAAATCTCACATTATCATGTGAATATCAATCTTGGACTTTTATACAGCTTTCACACCTTTGTAGATCTTATAAAGAACAGCCTCTTCACACTGTAAAGGTATATCACTGCATTTTTTAGCTCACCACCTTTTCATTCCTGTATCATTTTAGAAAGTCAAAGTTATAGTTTCATATTGCTGTGTAAAACTGCACATGTATGTCTGAGAGCAACATATGCATGTGCAGAGGAATTTGAGGTCTTAAAAGTTCCCTCTGAAGAGACTGAGGAAAGCAATACATCTCATTTAGAAAGGAAGAGATTTATAATTCATGCATGTTTATTAATTATTATGTTTAACTGCTTAATGTCAGCTATATGAAATTAATTGCATTTATACCATCCTGATAGTTACTTAATTGTACATGAATAATGAAGGCGTAAAATCCTCAAGAAAAGCTGTGCCTTCAGAATTGAATAATGAATTGAATCCTTTTTTTCAACATCAAAGCCTTAGATTTTTAGTAATGGTGAATATTCTGCTCAGATGGTCTTAAAGAACACCAGGGGTCTCACTGCGGGAAGTTCTGAGACTATTTTTCAAAAGGTGAATGACATTACCTGGAAAAATTGAGTAAGATTTACCTTTTTTTCTGTGCAAATTTCACTTGTGGAGTGTTCCACAATGCAATGTTAAAGGTTGGACATGGAGCTGCAAGAGGAAGCAGCTCTAAAAAGACTTAAGGAATTCTGTATGTACATACGTATGATCCTGGGCGCATTTTTAGCTAAGGCTTCTAGTATAAGGATGTCAAACAGCACCTTCCGACAAACTGGTTTGGAGGGACAGGTCGAGGAGCAGGTCGGGGGCTGGCAAGAGCGCGTCCGCACTGCCACCTGGTATCAGTGGTGCTGTCAGAGCCTCCCCTGGCACGCACCAGATCTACCGGGGCACACTCTCCTCGGGGAGTCCTTTGCTTTGGTATCTTTGCTCGGTATGGACCTACCAGTAGGTCTGATGAGCGAAAAACCTTCACTGGCATGATGCACGATATTTTGCTTTCAGCTGTTTCCATTTGTAAAACAGTAATGTAACGGCTTCCTGCGAAACCACACGAGCAATGCTGATGTTCCCCTTCGAGTGGTGACCATACTGGGCTCTCTGCCTTCTGTACATCTTCTTTAGTCATGACAGTTTTATGTTCCTCCATCCTCACCTGTGTAATTGCCTCAATTTTTGTTGCCAACCCAACATAGTAACTGTGTCATGAAAAATACAATGGGGAAAAATAATATAATATGACCAGCAAATATAGTTTTAAGCTAAGATGGGGGAACTGTGTAACACTGCAGTCCAGTCAACAAATATGGCACATGCAGTCATCCTGTCACTGAAAAAAAACGCATTTATTTATTCTGAAGTTTTCCAAAGAAAAACTTCAGGAGGTAATAAGCTGCCAGTGACTGCAAGCACTCTAACTCAGACTACCTGCATTTTCAGTAGTCAGGGTATTTAATGCCCTTATCTGAGAAGTGTCAGTATTTAATCCATCCAGTGATCCTCTGATAGGATTTTAAAAGAATGTACTGCTTTGAAAATCAGTAATTATAATGTGCAAAAAAGGAGGGGATGGGAAAAGGGAGGAAAAAAAAAAAGAAACAAAAATGAAGCCCTAACTGTATGTGTAACACAGTCTTTTCTAAAAGGGGCAATCTTTCATTTCCTCAACAGGCCACCGGAATCTACAGCAACCACTGTACTGCCACAGGGAGGTGCAGATAGTTAGGGAGGACTAGTGTTTGGAGATTCATGTCCCTAACAGCTTCTTCGTGATGTTTATGTTCATTGGATATTAAGAAAAAGGAAATACTTTATGTAACTTAAAAAAATATCTACATTGGGCTTTTTCACCTTCAGAATAATCAGGCTTCTGTAATTCAGCCCACCCTCAAACTAATATGGACAAAAATCTAAATTCTTATTAATTCCTTTTTTTCTACATGCAATATGTAAATTGGTTTTATTCTCATCGTAGTGAATTTAAAAATATTCTATGTACATTCAGTCTCCATTTACTGCATTTCATTGTGAATCTATACAGACAAAACCTTGCAGTTACACATTTGTGTTACTAATATTTGATATATTTACCTCCCAGTTCTCTAGAGTCTAATGGACTCGTATTTTATATTATTAGATATATTTATTCAGTTAGGGAAAACAAATATATATATTGAATTTTGATCTTGGAAGGTTTTTTTTATTAGGGCAGAAACCTTTCTATATGACATGACAAATCTTTACGGAAATCCCAATTTGGCTTACTTTGTATCAGTTTAGGTGTTCAACACTTTTGAAAATCATGGTATTTAAGTTCAGGGTCTAACCATTGTGCATGTTATGCTTTTTACTACTTCACACAGGCTAGCTTCAAACTCTCAATTTTTATATGACTTCTGTATATTAAATTGCATTGAAAAGTCAGGCATTGCTATGGACAACAGTCAAAATATGTGTGAGGACATAAATAATAAGCTTATAATCTACCTTTTTGCTAATAATCCCTTAGAGTTTGGGCAGTGCAATCTTCAGTTTGTGGCCAAATCTTGTTCAAACCTATGTAGTCCTACATATGTTATTGTTTATGATTTTGTGGGCAAGAACACCATTAGTCTTGTTTTAAAGAGTAAAATGGCTAAAATCAATATCCAACTTTGTGATGTGACTAGGCAGTCCTTCTTCTTGACCTTGAATAGAACTACTGAGTGGCTTTATAATCCTCCATGCCCCCCTTCTCTGATTCATTAAATTAGGTCAGGACTTCCCAACACTCTACTTAAATATGTTTGATTTTAGACAGACATACACCTTTCTTCTGAAGAAGAGAATGATATCTCCGGTGAGAGTTTTTCCATTGTGATACAGAGGTCTAAGGCTACGGGATGTTGCACAGCCTTGCTACTGCTTTCTCACTTCAGGGAAGGTACCTCGTTTGTGCCTGGAAGTTCTGGTATCCAGAATTCTTCTGTTGGCAACAACACTGAGTCATGCAATAGCTTCGTTCTTGCCTGTTGGTTTGACCTGTCTTTGGGAGGAGACCAAGGACATAGGAGAACAAGGCACAGCATCATCTCTAGCCATCAAGTTGGGATCTGACAGTTAAGCATGGGAAACTGAACTGCTGATGTACACCTGCCACAGTGACATCATAATTCCAGCCTAAAACGGTTATAGCAAAGTGGTTTTTTTATTTACTGAAAAAAAACCCACAACAAACAAACAAGCAAAAAAGGGAAGCTTAAATTATAGTTAAGATTGTATGTGGAACTTGAAGATGGCAATTATTAAATGAAATTAATTTCACCTGAAAGTGTATAGTCTATGTGTGTTTGAAGGGATTTGATATATCTGAAGGTAAGTTGATTTGTTATAATGTTTATAGGGCAGACAGTTCTTGTAATACTGTGGTTTTCTTTCATAGGTGACAATACTGTATGCTGTTCTTCACATGAGACACAGCTTGAAATATTTTGATAAAATGAGATGCTTGCGGAAAAGGTCGGCAGTGTCATTCTTAGGAATCCTTGTCGTTTGCTTGCTGTTCATGAACTTGTACATTGAAGATGGTTATGTTTTGGTAAGTTTTTTGGATGGGAGAAATTATCCTAGAACAACAAAACAGGATGCATCCCTAGTTAAATGCTAAATTTCATAATTCCTTCAATTTTCCCTGTTTGTGTACCATTAACAGTGAAGTATCCTCAAAATGTGTCCTTTATGATGAAACCATCTTCCTAATGTATATCACATATAGTGTGTCAGTAAGATCCTAACAGTCCTTTTCACAGAAGTAAATATGTCACTGTTTATTGGAAGTATGGGAGATAATGAATATAGCAAAACATGAAGGTATTTCCATCAAGTGCCCTTTGAGTAAAATATTCTCTGTATTTTCCATACTTCTGGATTTCCCTCAATTTTAATGTTGAAAATAGACTACATCTGAAATATTTGTGTGAGCTAATTTCAGTCCACACTGCAAATCTCACCTGTGAATACTGCATTAAAGGCTATTATAAAAATAAAATTATAAAAGAGAACTCTCATTAATTCCATCTATTTTAAGCTCCTTGCATGAATAATTTCTTTTTACTGGTTTTATTTTATGTTTTTCTCACCTTCTGTATCTCAGATTTGAGTCTGACAGGTTCAGTGCTACAGCATTAACAATTAGACATAAATTCAACTTAGTCTAAGTTTATGATTTTGAAAAAAAAAATGGAAATATTTGTTTTAGGAATTTCAAAAAATAAGCTTCTAACAATGTAACATAACTCTACAGTTTGTATGTAACATAGGAGTGTCTCAGTGCTGAATGTCAAACAAGCCCTGAAGTCTTGATTAGTGGATTGAATTTGCAGTTCTTTGGAGGCTGGACTGGGCCCAGTAAAAGAACATGGTGGCTTAACAACTGGAGCTTGCAAATAGTAAAATGACTAAACTGAATGTGTTATATTGTGATGTGATTAGACATTCCTATCTTCATCTTCAGTTGAACTGGGAAATTATGGACTTTCCAATATTCTGAAAGGTGAAGTTCAATCTCAGCTGGACCTGAAAAGAAACACAACAGTATTACAAAAAGTATAATACACAAATAGTAAAATCTTTAAATTACTTATCAGAACCATATATAACTTCCTAATTATTTGAATTCAAAATATTTTACTTCTGAAATTACTTATAACAGTATTGTAAATATTTACAAATTAAGATTATGCTAGTATTTTTTTAAGTCACTGAAAACATAACCCATGCCTCTAGCATATTACTCCATTACAGATATATTGCTTTCTCTAAAACTAAAGTTTTGCACTCTTTTATTTATTTAGCAATTCTTGGTTATGATCAAATTTGACCTGGCTCATCATTTTTTTTTTCCCTAGTGGTATTTGCCCTGATGTTTCTTCCCCATTCTCTGATTGCTTCAAAGTCCCCCAGATGTTTTTGAAAGTGCTTTTATTATTACTGCTAATGGTGTTCCTCTTGGTTTGTTTTTGAAATCTTTTCCTGTCCTATTTGCCAGCTCCCCAGATGGCTCCATGTCTTATTCTTAATTTTCTCTCCTTTACCCCACTTTTTTATAAATTCTCTCTCTTTCATTGCTTCTCTCATCACAGTTCTGGCATGTTTGTATTCATGTAGCTCCCAGCCAAGTCTCTTGCCAAGTCTCCTGACAGTTCTTCCAGATCTCTTGATACCTTCATGGTCCATCAAGTATTTTTCAAATGTGTTAGGCTGTTGACTTTTTAGTTTATTTATTTTCAGCTTCCCTGACCATGTCTGACAGCTCCAAACACACCATGTCTGGTGTGTTTTTCTCTGCTGAGGTAAAAGATGAGCAATTTCAGTATTTGTGGAGAGGAGAGAGATACTTGGGGAAAGCCTTTGAGGACAACAGGCTAACCAGTTCCCCTCTGGGAATGAGAATATGAAAGTGCCCCGAAGACACTCTGAATTGTAGCCTATCTCCTGCTGGGCTATCTGCTGAAGGTAACTGATAAAAGGAAGTCAACTGACCCTGAGTTCCTCTTCCCGATCTCGGGCAGCAGGCTGCACAAGGGACTGTTGAGCTGGTGTCTCTGGCACCACATGTAAGATTAGATGAGTGTTCTTTTTCAACATGTTAGAATATTAAAGTGAGATTTGTTATGGCAAGTGTTAAGAGGGGAGAGGAGAACCTTTCTCATTTTGCTCAGAGAGTATCACATGTCCAAAAAATCCCATCACTGTTTTCTGCAGGACATTTGCTGCAGAAATGGAAAGAGCAAAATTACTTAAGTATATTGGATAGAGGGTGTGCAGTTATGCACTGCTGACTCATGTATATTAGAAAAGCAGTTTAAGGTGCTTTGTCTACAACATATGAACTACATTTGATCAAGTATTTTGAAGACATAATGAATTAATATATACCAGATATCACAATATATGCAGTGGGGTATTTAAACCTTTTCAGAGTTGTAAGTGAACTGTAAGCAGAGCATGTGTTTTGTGCTCTTCTATGAATACTTATCACTATTTTGGGCACTATGAAAACAAAAGTACTATTGTAGCTGACACAGCATCTTTAGCAGAGCAGAGTATCTCCATAAAGAATGGAGAACTGGCGCTTCAACCTATGGCACCCACATAAAACCCGCAAGCTTCAGCAAACACTGGAATGTAAGTTAGAGGTTAGTTAACAGATGAAAGCCAGAACCATCATAGAAAAAACTAGAGAAGACAAAGAGAATTAATCAAGCTCCTCAGCTTCACTGACCTCTGCATAGTAGTCTGAGATAGAAGAAACAGATTTTTGTAAAAATCCATATGTCAGTTTTGCCCATCATTCAACAAAGGAATGAAAATAGCAACTATAGTCTATTTCTAAACATTTTGAAACTTTTTATGTAGGAAAACCTCAGCAGAATGGGTTTCTATTCCAAAACCTTCTTATGAAACAAGGAATTTTGGTGCTGTATTCTGGAACCAGTGACACATAATGTTTTGACATTAAAGAAAGGCTGGTTTTAAAAAAAAAAGTTTTTAAACCAGCCCATTTTTTTTTCCATCTGATATTTTTCATGGAAAATCTCCTGAAGTTTTGGTGTATTCTCTTACTAGACCACTGAGTTACATTTTAAACTTGAATCCGATCATCAAACTTCCTTTTGTAACTTATGAGCAAATACAAAGTAGCACAGAAGCAATAGAGAGAAATTACTCGAGAGATATTGCAGATCAAGAGAGCATAACAGTGTGGGTAGATACCCCTGGATGTCTGTCAAAGATCTTTATGAAGCCCAGAAGTGGATTATTTACTACTTCCATGAAAGAAAAACAATGAACTTTAAATGGATGTATGATCAATTTACAGAAATATGTCTTTGTGCCATAAAATATATCTTTGACACCTTTTTCTAATATTTATGTCACTAAATGAGTGCTGTTTACTGTTTCTGTGATTGTTCTCGTTATCAGCAGTACTATTATTGTGGAGTGCTCCCATTTTATGACAGATCAGGAGGTTTTAGTGCGTTAACATAATGTATATATCAGAATAAATGAACTCATTCCTACATGGGTCTGCCATCAGACCACGATCAAACCAGATAAATTAAACAAGCATTCCTACTTTTAAATCCAGCCTCATGACATTACAGCCTGTTAGATACTTTCCCTTTCCTTAAAGAATAAGGAACAAATTTTTCCTGAAGCTCAAGTGACCTTATGGATAGGGCACTACTCATGAAGCTGCTCTTTCCCTTCTGTGACTTTACTATTGTTAGGAAAGCCTTTTGGAAGAAAAAGACTGAAGGAGGAGGCAGGAAGAGGAGGCATGGTGAGAAATGTGCCTTTTTTTCTATGCCATCAATTAGTTTTCATCAAATTCAGAGAAAGCTTTTGCTGTCTGCATGATCATATGTATTTCTTCTTATCACAAATCTGAGTAGAAGCTTCTCAGAAAAATGGCAAAATGAGCCAGATGCCAGAATCTAGTTTTGTCTTTCATTTGCAACAGGTTCAGTGGCTTTTTTAATCACTGGAAAAATCTCCCCCACTTCTACATCGATGAAAGATATCTTATCTGTTGCTGACAAAACCCCCTTTTTAGTACCACAGCATTTTTTTGCCAATAATTTAGTGTTTGCTATTTTTTCAGAGATTTTGTGCAAAATATTTTTTTTCTTTTCCTGTTACTGTAATCTGAAGGGTTGTGGTAGATTTTCTGTAATGTTTCAGTAATGTTTTGGTTTGTTTTGGTTTGTTTTGTTTTTTTTTTTAAACGAGGTGACATATACATGCTTTCACAAAAGCTGACACTGAAAAATGTTATTCTTGGAAACCTGCCTATCCATGTTTCCTCTTTAGCTGGCACTCACAAATGTGTTTCTCTCTGTCTCTCTCCCTCCTCTATCCTTTTTGTTTTCCCGCTATTAGGAAGGGGACAAGCAACTAATCAGAGAAACAGCCACGCACCAGCTCAACCCAGAGCGTTATGTTCACAGTTTTAAAGATTTGTCTAATTTCTCAGGATCTATAAACATTTCCTATCGCTACTTAGCTGGCACACCTTTGCCAAGGAAAAGTAAGTAACTGCAATCTGAATGTTATGAAATGAGGCAATTTAAAAATAAATGAAATCCATATAGTCCCTCTGGTATTTCTAGGCAAGACGGGCTGAGTTAAGAAGCGACAATCTCAAAAAAGTTAGTGGGACAGCTATCTCTGCACAGGCAGTTCTAGAGTGAATACAAGTCCAGGCCTAGCAGTGATTGCCTCACAGCCTGGTTACCTTCTGACCAAATGGCTGACTTGCAGACAGCTTGCAAGCAGCCCCTGGATGGTCTGTGTAAGCATACTTCTATGGATGCCTCCTCCCAGGCCAGAAGACGATAATTTAGAAAGCAGAAGCAAGGCATATATGCTGGTGGTTTTCTGTAACAACTCTCTGAGACCATCCTGTCAATCTCTTTCTGTATAATCAGTAAATCCAATCTTAAGTATGCTTGGGATCACATAGATACACCCTTCAGGTTCCCTATTCTGCCAGCCCAGCAGCTGCGAATGGAACTCCTTGTTCCTTTAGCTGTGATAATAAGGGAGGTGAATTGTGCTCTTATGGGGAAAGTAAAGAAGGATTCTTCTCAGAGCTATCTGCAGATGGACTATTTAGTTACTCTGATTTCAGACGAGAAATCAAGTTCAAGACTTTCCTCTAGAAGTGAAATATGGCCATTCCTAGCCTTTAGACAGCTGTTCTTTGTGTTCCAAATCAATCGTTTCTCAAAGCTCAGAAGTTCAAAAACAGAAGGTAAAATAAAACAGTTTGTTAGTTGTAGAAAGCTATAAAATTTGTTCAAATTAGATTTGAAAAATTTTGGGCTCGGTAGGCAGAGATTGTACTTCACTGTACAACTGCTTTTTGAGCAGACTTAAGCCTCGAGGGAAACACTGAATCACTATATCAGAGCAGTCTTCTACAAAACATCATATTTTAAGAAAGTTGGTGTAGGTTCAACTGAAGTACACACTGTCAGTTATAAAGTCTTAAAATGTTTTACATCAGAAGTTAAAAAAATAGAGATATATTAGCAAATATCTGAAAACAAAACTGATTTGGAATGCTGGTAAAAATGCAATGACAGTGACTACAAAATGGCAGAGATGAAAATTCTTCCCTTATAATTAAAATACATCTCTCTCTAGAAAGATGTAACAGCATTAAAAATTATTTGTACAAGCAAGAAAAGAAATAAGTTCTCGTTTACTTTAAAACAATATCTAAATTGCATTTTGCAAGAAGGAGTTCCCTGTAAAATGCTCAATGAGTCCTGAAAAAGAGTTAGAAAAAGACCTAGCAAGGAAAAACTAGACAAATTCAGCTAAAAAAGGAACATGCTGAAAATAAATTATCCATGCAAAATCCATAACACTGTGTAGTTGTGTATAAATGTTGCTAGACTTTTAGAGGGCCTAAAATTATAAAAGCTTGGCAATTAGTCTATGTATCATATTTTTGTGCTGCATTTGGTAGTTCTTAGTTTTAAAAATACTGTGTGAGTAATCGCCTCAAACCCCTTTCTTTAGCATATTTTACACCATTATCATTCTCTGTGTGGTTTCATCTACCAGGTGCTTTCACGTCTGACCACGACATGCTATTTCTTGCAGTTAACAAGTAAATGTTTAACACAATAGTCTCCATATGTCTATTTGCTTGCAATACGTTGCTTCTTTACAAAAAGGTAATAAAGGTCCTTTATTGCATGCAATTTAAGTTCACATACCAAATTTCTCACTCTTCACCATTCACAAGGTTTATTTATTATAAGCAGAGCTCTGGAGAATAGCTTTGTGACAAAATTGTTTCCAATATCAGATACCCAGTTTTTGTTCAAATTGTCTTTTGTACAGGGTATCTTACAATTGGACTATCCTCTGTAAAACGGAAAAAGGGAAACTATTTACTTGAGACCATCAAGTCCATATTTGAACAGTCAAGCTATGAAGAACTCAAAGAAATTGCAGTGGTAGTACAACTGGCAGATTTTGACTCAGCCTGGTGTGAAGGGATCGTCCAGGATATTTCACAGAAATTTGCACATCATATAATTGCAGGCAGATTAATAGTTATTCACGTCCCTGAGGATTATTATCCTGTACTGGATGGCCTCAAAAGAAATTATAATGATCCAGAGGACCGTGTGAAGTTTCGATCAAAACAAAATGTAGATTATGCTTTCCTTCTAAACTTTTGTGCTAATCTTTCTGACTATTATGTGATGCTAGAAGATGACGTTCGCTGCTCAAAGAATTTTTTGACTGCTGTTAAGAAAGTAATTACCTCACGAGAAGGATCCTACTGGGTGACTTTGGAATTCTCCAAACTGGGATACATTGGAAAGCTTTACCATTCTCATGACCTCCCACGCCTGGCTCACTTTCTGTTGATGTTTTACCAAGAAATGCCTTGCGATTGGCTGCTCATCCACTTTCGCGGGCTATTAGCTCAAAAGGAAGTGATACGTTTTAAGCCATCTTTGTTCCAGCACATGGGATACTACTCATCTTACAAAGGAGCTGAAAACAAGTTAAAAGATGATGATTTTGAAGAGGAATCATTTGATATCCCTGACAACCCACCTGCAAACTTGCACACCAACATGAATGTATTTGAAAACTATGAGGCAAGCAAAGCTTACAGCAGCATTGATGAGTATTTCTGGGGCAAAGCTCCTTCTAGTGGAGACTTCTATGGAATTGTATTTGAAAAGCCCATTAAAATCAGTAAAATTAAAGTTGTCACTGGAACTGAAGATCGGCAAAATGACATTTTGCATCATGGAGCCCTGGAAGTAGGAGAAAAGATTGTAGGCAATAAAAAAGGGAGACAATGTACAACTTACCTGAGACTAGGGGAGTTCAAAAATGGGAATTTTGAAATAACTGATGTAGAGCACAAAGTTCTGTTTGATATTAACTGCATGAGAATACTTGTTACCAAAAGTCAAAAAGAATGGCTGATCATTAGGAGCATTAGCGTCTGGACTTCTCAAACACCAAATCAGTAAAGCAAAGCCACCTGAGTAGGTACGAAGTGCACACAATCATCTGGGTTCCAACTGGTGCCATTCCCCAGAAAAACCGACACTTACAACTCTTCACTAAAGACATAGAAAATCTGGGGAAATCACAAAACAAGTAAAGCAATTTATTTTTTACTAGTTTGGTCGGGCAATACACAAACATTTATTTGCTGAAAATTTTGAATTTTATAGGAGATCTTTAAACTCTTTTTTTATTATTATTTCTCTGGAAGAGAGATCTTGTGGACCATACAGAACAAAAAAACCATCCTATAATTGCCAAAAGGTTTAAATCTATGACCAGTACGTTGTGAAAAAAAACCTGAATTGCACCTTATGCACATAAAAATTTAAAATCTCATGATAGTATGCATTTGTACTGTAGTTGGTGATGTGTTTCTTCTACAGGCAGTTGTGACAAGGAAATCTGTCCTGAAACTGGCAGTTTCCTTCTGAGCACTGTAAGAAAATAGTGTGGCTAATCATTGCAATTTCTTTTCAAAAGGGAATGTATGTAAAATTATAAATCTGAAATGAAAGTTGTGTAAAAAAATAGATAATTGCATCTGTTATTCTGTCTTAACAAATATCCTTTGTTCTTTTTTCTGGGTCCTTTCACTGAAATTAGCAGTACTTGGATTCTATATTACTTAGGGGACCAATTTACTCTCCTTACTTGAACAAAATGCCTCACAGTAAGCAAGGATTCTGCTTGAGTACTGATGTCAATATCAAACCCAAGCACCTCAAGGGCAGCACTGTTCTCTTAGGCAGGCATCTTAACCGATTCCAGATGCAACATTTTTTGTTCCTTCATGATATGTAGAACTCTCCCTGAGAAATTTGCATATAGCTGAATACTACAGCATGCTTTTAGCGTAACAGAAGACTGTTATGTCTTCCATATATACATGTCCAGTTCAAGTATGATACAAATGCAAACCGTACTAGGTTAATCAATTGGAGGTCAATGTAAGCTCCAGTCTGCTCTGGGTGATTTACAGTCAATAATAATAATAATAATAATGGCCCATCTTCGCGAACGAAGATTTGGGGAAAGGTCTTTTACCTTTCCAGCCTGCGCAATGGATTTTTTTAGGTGAGACACAGCATGCGCTGAACTGAGCCCACCCTTTAATCCTAAGGTTCATCTGCTGGGGCCAAGCAAGCTTGGACAATGGCAGTGAGGTCCTCAGGACGTAGGTTTGTTTAGAGTGACCTTCTCATAGATGGATGGCCTCACAGGCCTAACGGACTCCATCTGCCGGGGGACTGGCTGGATTTGAACCTGGGTCGCAGAGGTGAGAGTCCTGCACACTAACCACTAGGCCACCAGGGGTCCCCCTACAGTCAATAGATGAGACACAAAATGAGGAATCCTTATTCAATGAGAAATTAATATGGTCCTAAATTAGTTTTTTGGGGTTTATGTTTTGTTTTTTTTTTGCGGTTTTCTAATTCTAATCATGTTAGTCTTGTAGGCATCTTCCTACTGCCTCTGATAGGCATATTTCCTGTAAGAATATTTTGTCTGGTTTTAGAAAAAAAAATCAGAAAAGTTCTTTCAGTCTGCATGACTTCAGTGTCAGTTCTGGGCTTCTAGTGCATCACACAGGGAGGCTGTATAGCATATGATTTATACTATATGCATACATTCAGATTAGCAGAATCTGTGGGTTTTATTCTTCTAAGAAATTCTTGATATATCTCAGTAGACACACTAAAAAATACATGTGTGACACAGATGAACATTTTATTGTCAGTCTCATGAGTACTACAGTTATCATCTGATGGCATTTATGATTTTTCAGTTAAAGCTGGAAGGCAAGAAACTTGAAGAATGTCTGCACTGACCGAGAATGAACTAATGACTGTATGAGTACATCGAAACCTAACATGGCTATTTCAGAATTTTAAAAATCTACACAAACATCAATGCAATTTCTTTTCCTGGTTCATAAACCTGTATGAATTCAGGTCCAGGTTTGTCAAATCCAGTACAGAGGAGAGGTACATTGTCAAATAAATCTTCTGATATATGCTTCTACATAATTCAGAAAAGCATCTTTTTCTCAAAGAAAGTCTTTGTTTCTTTGTTCCTTAATACACACTTAAATCTCTGTTTTTCATATATATATATCTTCAGTAAAATAGATTAAAAGTGTCATACATGTTCAACATGAGAAGGAAATTAATACAACTTTTTAAAAAAATAACTACATGCTAATCTTAAATTATTATAAATACCTATAAATTACTTGCTTTTTAATATTCATCTTCCATGTTTATAAAATAATTACTTGATAATTAATTATTGGTCAATCCCCATTTCTTTTAGTAACCTGTCATTCTTCTATTTTTCCTTTCATAGAATCACAAAACAGTTTGGGTTTGAAAGGACCTTAAAGATCACCTATTTCCAACCTCCCTGCCATGGGCAGGAATACCTTCCACTAGACCAGATTGCTCAGAACCCCATCCAACCTGGCCTTGAACACTGCCAGGGATGGGGCATCCGCAGCTTCTCTGGGCAACCTGTTCCAGTGTCTCACCATCCTCACGGTAAAGAATTTCTTCTTTAATGTAAACCTACTCTCCTTTCAGTTTGAAGCCATTCCCTCTTGTCCTGTCACTACATGTCCTTGTTAAAGTCCCTCTTGAGCTTTATTGTAAGTCCCCTTTAGGTACTGGAAGGCTGCTATAAGGTCTCCCAGGAGCCTTCTCTTCTCCATCCGAACAGTCCAAACTCTCTTAGCCTTTCCTCCAGCTGCAGCCCTCTGATCATCTTTGTGGCCCTCCTCTGGACTCATCTGATCATTAACTTGTACTTCATTCACTTTCCTTGATCCTTAACTATTAGTGTCGAAGCAAACATTACTAGGTTAACCAGGAACATTATCTTTACTTTTCTTCAGAAGTGTAGTATGTCTGAAGCACTCTTCTAAATTAGAAGACAATTAGAAGACACCAAGATTCAAATGTTTTTGTAGTCAAAACCATACACAATGTGAATGACTAGTAAAAATTAAACACTCTCAAGCCTTAGGAATTTAAATAGTATTTTTTAATTACAAGCCTAACAAAACTGCTTTCCTTTTCAAAATAACAGTAGTAATGAGACTTGTCTTTGATATAAAGGCTTAGCAGTGAGAACTCTCATCTGGTTGTTACCAGTCTTAGAAGCTCAAACCCACAAATGCCCTCAGAGAAAGCTTTCCTTGGCTGTGGATAGTGGTATGTGCTAGGAATGAGAGGCATGCACCACTCTTATTGTTGAAATCGAGTTGATTTGGAAAAAATAATTAACAGTACATTTATTCCAGAAGAGATTGGAATACAGTTCTGCAAGCTAATGTTTAATGTTTTGAACACTCACCGCAGTGCATCCAGCTTCTCCTTCACTGAATGCATATTTTATCCAACTCATTCACATTAAAAATGCTGCCAGATTTAAAAAAAAAAAAAAAGAGAAAAGAAGCCATGAAATCAATGATAACTGGTTTTCAGACAGATTTCAAATATATATGTTTGAAGATATGTTTTTTTCTTTGTATGCTAGGAAAAGTGATTGCTTTCTGAAAGGAAAATGTTTAATCAGACATTTATATCTTTACTAATACTTCTCAAAGTTTGAATTTTCTTTTCACTGATTATCAGTGTTATAAAGCTCAGTTCATTGGTGTATACAGTTGGTTCTCTTAGTGTGTATTTCCTGGTTTCATTTGTGACCATCAATATTTTCATAGCGAAATATGGATACTGAAAATATTTCACTGTGATCTGCACAGTGATGGATCTGTTCCTAACTCACATACATGAATTGTTCCTACTAGAGTTTGGGATTCCTCATTGTATAATGTCCTTGGGCCTTTTTTTTTCTTTTCTTCACTAAAAACCAGTTTGTCTTCTACCTTTCTGCACACAAGTATCTCCACACATCCTTCTGACGTAAGCATTCTTGGGAAGTAAAATACTACTCACTGTGAATTAAAAGAAGAAATGAGCCCTTAGTTTACTACAGAATAAACAAATCAGGAGAAAACAATTTTCAGGCAAACCAGTTTTAGAATATTTAAGATGTGTACTATGATAAACGTGATTCACTAAGGTGCTCTATGAGTGTGTTTTTAGATCTATCTTCTAACATGATGCTCTGTTTTACTCTCTGCTCAGTATTCTCTTGTGTTAGACCCTAATGTTTTTGCTTTTATAAAGGGACGTTGGGAACTTGTTTGTTATTGAATTTTTAAAAGCTAAATAAACAACAAACATGACGCCTTATAAAAGATTTCATTTTGGAAACTTATTAAGGGAAAAAGCCCCATGTTTGTCTTAAAAACCACAGATGACACCAGCTTTCATTGTGAGGCATTTCAGAGAATCTGATGGGAATTGTAGTTCTTACTACTCTCAAGTTAAATTTGCAGTTTTGTTAGGTAGCATTTAAATAAATATTAAATTATAAGTACTAATGCAGATCATGTGTCATGAGGTCTAGCAGTGTCATATCATCAAATGGTAAAGTATATTATTTTGTAAAAACAAGTGAAAATGTAGATATATTATAATGAAAATAAATTAGGTGATCTTGATTTCATATGCTGTATACAAAGACAAATTGATTGGATTACCTCCACCGCTCCATCAGTTTTTCAGATAAAGTAGGCTTAATCTTTGTTCTTTACTCATTAGTCCTTGGAGACAAAAATTATGAAATTCCTACTGCCCGTATCAGAAGTTGGATCATATATAGATCATAGAAGACTGAAAGTGTGATTTCACAAAGTAATTATATATATACATACATTAAAATATTTGTCTTATCTTTTTCATTTTAGTTTTAGCCATTCTGGAAAACTGAAATTAAAATAGTCTTCAGAAAAATGTATTTTAGTATCTTCACATGACATCTTCCAAGATCTTGTCTCATTTACCAGCTTTGTCACAGCAAATACATTCTGTGTCACTTAAGTCTTCATGCCCTTAAGCAGAACAGTCAGTCATGTAGACCAAGCCCATATTACTGCTTTTGCTGTAAAAGAAGAGAAAGAGGAACATGTCCAGAGTCAGTGTACAACAGTTGTCTAAGATCTGATTCCTTCTAATCTAATCTATTATTTATTTCATGTTAGTTTAACAATGAAATTAAGTACAGAGAAAGATTAATTGCAATAATATTTCCATAATAGTAGTTTTCTGTTAAACTGGCATGAAATTGAATTGGCATCTGGACAGATACTAGACTGTTTTTCAGCCACATTTCTAGATATTTTTCAACTGTCATGCTCCTTACTACCTGTTCTCAAATAAAATTCCACTTTGTCCCAATAGTTGTAAAAAAGATTCTTAAAATCCCCAGTAGATATTGAAAGTACTCAAACCTTTGCAAGCCCTTTGCTGGGCTTATATAATAGTTTCACATTTAACAAGTAAAGCTGAACATCAGAAGCTGATGCTCACTTCCTCTCTTCAGATTGTTAAATACCTGCCTTCCTTCTTTTTTGCTATTTATCCATTAATGTTGGTTTTTACTTTTACCAGTTCAGGAAAACCTGCCTGACAGTCATGGAAATCTCAGGCCGTGAATTCTCAATCTCAAAGGTACTGTGTTTGTACTTTATGAAATGTTCCCATTTCTCAACAGACAGGTACTATTTTTTTGAAAACCAACACAAGCAGTGTACGGTTTCTTGGACCCTCCCCTGGTATTATTAGAATGGACTTTCTTCCTACATAACTGCATCAAGCAAAGATACTAAAATAGACATTACCAGGAAAAAAAAAGCCTGCTATACAAAAACCCCTACTTTTAATTTTTAAAACCAGGTTTAAAGGTTTCTCTGTGATCAGGCTTCATCTGTCCTGAGAAATTTAAGTAAAAAATATGAAAATATCATATTTGCAAGGTAAGGTTAAGTAAATATTATATGTGTGCATTTCTGCTTATGATTGTACTTAAATTATTATTTAAAGATGTTTTTTTGTCAGAGTAT